AGCTCGGCAGGCTATGAGAGCGCCTCTGTCCTACACTCTAGCTTCTTTGTTTATAGGCATTTCTTCCATGGCGAGTGACACCAATCTGCAGTAGAGTAGAATGGCTTCCTCTCCCGATTCAAGCAGTACAGTAGTTAGGCGCCAGCGGCCATGTAACACTCCGTCTGCCGCTGCTGCACGCGCACGGACGTCGCCTCGCCCCGTCTTGCCCCAGCCGTCTCCTCCCGTTAGTGCTTCTGTCGGCAATGAACCAAGCAGTAGCTCCGAAGCTCCTCGCCCTCCCCTTCCTTGAGTGGCTGTCCCCACTTTCCCGTCGCGTAAGCGCCCGCAGGGTCAGCTGAAGCGCAATGCGAACGCTCAGCCACCATCCCATCGCCATCACATGACGAAGAAAGTGCGTAACGCGATCACGGTGAAGGAGAAGCTGCACTGGTTGAAGATGCAAGATTCTCAGCCCGACCTGGGGAATCGCGCCCTGGCGAAGCTCGCGAAGGTGCAGCCCTGCAAGATCCGTGAATGGAAGAAGATGAGGGAGCGACTGGAGGTCGCATCTAGCTGCCGCCATCGCCTCATGGGAACTAGCCGCAAGGCGAAGTACCCGTTCATGGAACGGGCGGTCTACCGCCACTTCCTTAACCACTGGGCGAAGGGCCTTGCCGTTTCGGTCCGCATGCTCCAGCAGTGGAGCTCCAAGTACATGAAGCACCGCATGCCCTCGGTGAACTGGCGCACTTCGTTCCGCTGGGCGACGCGTTTCCACTCGCGCTGGCACTTGGCAAGGCAGGTGAAGACGAAGATGGGGCAGAAGTTGGCGGCCGGTAAGTAAATCATCATCGTGCTTGTGATTATGACCACGACGTTTATCTTACGCGTGCCGTGGCTCTGTTTGCAGAGTGCAAGGCCAAGGTGGAGGCGTTTTGGGAGTTTGTGCGCCAGATGTGCACTCTGCGCGACTACCCACTCGACCTCATCGTGAACGCGGACCAGACTCCGCTCTTCCCGGAGATGCCGGCGGAGCGCACGATCGAAATGAAGGGTGCGCGTACGGTTCACATACGCAGTGCAGGCTACAAGAAGGAGCGTGTTACTGTCATGCTGGCAGTAACGGCGGGTGGGCTCAAACTTCCTCCGTACGTCGTGTTCAAGCGCAAGACCGACCGAAAGTGCCCATTCCTGCCGGTGAGTGAACCACATCTACGTTTTAGACCGTGCTCTTGCCTGTCACGTGTCGCAACTTAACATGACTCTCGTGTTGTGTTTTGCAGGTGTGGTGGTCCGTGCACAAGACAAGGGGTGGATGGACGAATCTCTGGTGCAGGACAAGATTACCGAGGTGCTGGTGCCGTTTCTGAAGCCCCTGCGGGAAACCACCGGCCGCCGCAGGGAGGCATTGGTGGTGCTCGACTCCTACCGCGGCCACTTGAAGGAGGCCGTCGGTCAGACGATGCGTATGTTTCGGTTGTCAAGGGCGGTCATCCCAGGGGGCTGCACACCGCTTGTGCAGCCTCTGGATGTGTCGGTTAACGCTTTCAAGTGCGGGGTGCATTCCCGCTACAGCACATGGTTCGAAGAAGATGGCATCAACCAAACCACTCACGCAGGTGAGTTGAAGCCATGAGTTCCGTTTGAGCAACTTCGTTCTAGCGATAGCGCAAGCGGGGTGCGGACCGCAAACGTCCACAGAAAATGGGGAGCAGCCGCATGGATCATGGAGGTGCGAGCAACGTCATGACTAAGTCGATGCGGCACTCAGCAATCCCATTATTCTATGGAGAGGCCGGAAGCGTGAACGTCTGGCGAATGCCCTCCGAACGACAAAAGTCCGGAAGGAGGCCGGAGGAAAACTCACCGCCTCTTTCAGAGTGCAGTCGCAGGACATGGAGGTCCTGCTCAAACCGAGCGCTCAGCTGGCGACGAACAGCGATGATCCAGTGGAGGCACGTGCTGCGATTGGACCACCAGAGGGGTCAGCGAGACCGACCGGGACAGGTGCAGTGAGCGGTGTGACTGTGGTGCAGTCGCGGAAGAAGCAGCGAGTTGCGCCTGAGTCAATCGTGAAGGTGTGTAAAGCCTCCACAGGTGCTGTAACAATGCTACCAGGCTCACAGGCACCTAGACTAGAAGCCTCTGCACCACCAGGGACGCGTCGCTGAGAAAAACACTCCCTAAGCTGCTGCGGTGAGGGGGTCTCCGGCTGACTCTGCTGCCGCTGCTGTAGAGGCTGGGTGATAGGAGAGAGGGAGGAGTAGTGTTTAACAACAGCGTCGAACAAAGCCTGGGCTGACTTCACCTGCGAAAGTGATCCCTCTGGTCGACCGGCAGGAGAGATCGGACGGCACGCTGGGAAACAGCGTCGCGCTCCGACCACTGTCTGTAGGCGAGGCTGTCCGCCCGGTACCGCCTCTGCACGTCCTTGTCAGCGTCAGCAGCAGGCTCAGTGGGGGTCGTGGGGGCCGGAAGTGACCCCGACGTGTGCCCGAGTAGGGAGACGCCATCTCTAATGTAACACCGGAGATGCAAGCGCAGGCACATAAGCCAGAAGTCGAACCGGTACGGGAGTCCGTTGGCGTCAAACGATAAGACCGGTGGCGTTGTCATGACGGCAGTGTTGTGGCGAGTGCAGAGCGTGAGCAACTAGAGCAGCGTGCTGGCAGCTAAGGCAGCGCGCAGGCAGGGCGGTGCGCGGGCTGCAGGGCAGGGCGGCGCGTGGGCTGCAGGGCAGGGTGGCGCGCAAGCTGCAGGGCAGGGCGATGCGTGGGCTGCAGGGCAGGGTGGCACGCTAGCTGCATGGCAGGGCGGCGCGCAAGCTGCAGGGCAGGGCGACGCGCGGGCTGCAGGGCAGGGCGGCGCGCGAGCTGCAGGGCAGGGCGGCGCGCTAGCTGCAGGGCAGGGCGACGTGTGGGCTGCAGGGCAGGGCAGCGCACAAGCTGCAGGGCAGGGCTGCGCGCTAGCTGTAGGGCAGGGCGACGTGCGGGCTGCAGGGCAGGGCGGCGCACGGGCTGCAGGGCAGAGCGAAGCGCGGGCTGCAGGGCAGGGCAGGGCAGAGCGCAAGCAGGGCAGCGTACGGGTCGCGCGCTAGGCAGCAAGCGGGCAGCGTGAAGGGCACGGCAGAGCACGTGGGGCCACGCAGGCAGGGCAGCGTGAGGAACGCTGTTCGGGCAGGGCAATACGGGCAGTTCGGGCAGTTCGGGCAGGTCGAAAATAGTGGTGGGCCCTAACGGAGCGGTCCTACGGAGGATGGAGCCGCTCTGAATACCATGTCAGAATAGGAACGTACGAATGATTGACTAGGTAGAAAGAGTGAGTACAAGTACTACCTAACCCTCAAGTGTTGTACCCTTTAGGGTATGCCCCACTACAGCCTACAGAGAACAAATACAATTTGACGGTTTGTTCAGGACAAGAAATAGCTAAATCAGCATGGTCGATGATCAATTCCCTGAGAGTTGAAATGTTGTGAAATGACATAGGTAGTATGCTTGATTGACGCAGTATAGCAGTTTGATAAGCTATCTTGCTGTATGCCTAGGTGTCAGAACTAAAATGAAATTACTCGAGGGATGGATATACTGGTAGTAAATGAAAATTATGTGGCTCGGCAAGAACATTTCGTACAACACAACGGTGAGCTTTGTAACATTATATAGATTCAAAACACTAGTATTTTCAGAGAATGTCATTATCTGTTCGACTTGTATAAGAAATCATACTGCTGGATTGTTGATAGAGGCAATATCGGTTGAACCATATATAATTCACTGCTAGTATAGTATGTGATATGGAATCTGCACATAGACGCATTCGTTTTTCTCATTCCTATCCCAACCTTGGGAGCTGGCTGGACGAGCACCTTGGGAGAGGAACCCTAGTTCCTCGAGACCAGTTTCCTGAGCACTCTGATCGGAGATCTCCTGAGCTGCTCAAGACCGTCTGATCGCAGGGCAAACACTGCCTTCCGTCATTTGGTATGCGCGATGTCGTAGTGCGGTCCGTTCGGGCCTCCGTCTCATTCGCGTCCGCTGATTGCTCGTAGGTAGTTTGTTCTTCCCGTTCGTTAACATTGACTGAACGAAACACAAGCTATGGCAGCCTCGAGCATACCTTCGATCAGAGAGTAGACACATAGTAGCCCCACATTTAGTCAACCGGGAAGAGCGTCGTGTTCCCGCAGACGAATCGCCGGTTCAGCAGCGGCGAGCTTGACGGAAGGACGACAGGACTTCATTTTGACCAGCAAAAAACGCTGAGATTTCGCTGCCCAGATCCGTGCTGGTCGGAGGAGTTGGGCTGGGCCCTTTGGTTGGAGCAAAAAAACCGGGTAGCATGCCATTGGCTTCCCGACCTCTGCGTAGGTTTGGCTCCAATCAGATCGCTCTAGGATGTCAGAGAAATCGGCCAGCGCTAGCAGCCTCGAGCATACCTCAGATTGGAGACGAGACCACACCCACGGAACCCTTCATCGAGTCAACGAGAAGCAGTGGCGTGCTTCCGCAGACAAATCGCTGGTTCTCCCTCAAGCAGCGGCGAGCTTGACGGAAGAGTGATTCAGATTCAGTTTGGGCAGCCGAAACGCTGAGATTTTGCTGCCCAAGATCGACTAGATGAACGAGCCGCGACATTCTCGTCTGGCTGTGCCGAACCTCGAGGCTATGCTTGGATCATCTGTTTTGGACAGCTTGCCATTGGCTGCTCAACCCCTCCGTCCATTCTCCTCCAATCACAAGACACAGCACGCCTTTCCCGGGATGAACTAATTTCGCTATGGGCAGCCGACCAGCTCTCCCCCGTCTACCCACCACCGTTCCTTCTCTCCACCCGAGCTCTATCCACCTTTCCGCCTTGGAGCTGCCGCGCATTCCCAACAATACAAAGGCACTCGTCACTCTCATCCATTCCACCACACCCGTTCGAGTTCGTACTTGCTTCTGACTATCACCTGGTTTCAACTCCCGGTTCTGGATTCGTGAAATTTCCTTGTTTCCTAGACTCTTGTTCTTACCATGGCCGCGCGGAACGCCTCAGATTTCCAGTTCACAAGCCCCTCAATCGACCACGAGTTCTGGAAGGACTTCAGCGAGGCCGATTGTATGTGGCTGTATGCGCCACTGACGTCATTGGCCATTGATCACGAGTTTTGGAAGGATTTCTCAGAGGAAGATTGCACGTGCCTCTGTGGCCTGCTGGGCTTCCCGGCGCCTGCAGATACATCCATCGATCATGTGTTCTGGGAGGACTACAGCGAGGAGGAGCAGACGTGGCTGTACGTCCTGGGCATTCGTTTCTCCGAGCCCGTTGTGACTCTCACGCTCGGAGCTGTCGCTGCTGCCAGCAGCACTACGACCAGCACCAGCAGCCGCAGCAGCACCAGCAGCATCATCAGCAGCTGTAGCAACAGCGACGACAGCAGCGTTGCCAGCAGCAGAATCATTTGCAGCACCAGCGGCAGCAGTAGCATCAGCAGCCGCAGCGCCGGCAGCAGCAGCTCAAAGCGTGGCAACAGTGCAGAGGCGTGCATGAGCAAGAGGCAGCAGCAGCGGCTGCACGCCGTTGCGGTGCGCGTGGGGCGGTTGAACGAGGATGAGCAGAGCATTGCGCGCTCCCCCCGTGCGTCGCAGGGCTTCTCCCCGCCGCGACCCACCAAGCTCGTGAGTCAGCCGCGCAGCAACACGCCCACGCCCACGCACGTCATAGGTGCACGCGCTGCTGTCACCACCGCTGCTGCCAACCTGAAGACCGCCGCTGTGAAGACCGCCGCTGTGAAGAGCGCTGCTGTCATGCGCCCTGCTGGTGTGGAGATTGCTTCCGTGAAGACCCTTGCTGTGAAGCTCGTGGTTTCAGCAGGCAAGGGAACGCCTGCATTTCCAGCAGCACCAGCCAAGGCTGCTGCTGTAAGAAGCGTTGCTGTTAAGCCTGCAGCTGCAACAGCTAAAAGAACGCCAGGCAAGGCCACACATGTGACGCCGGCAGATGCTGTGAAGAGCGCTGCAGTGAAGATCGTTAAGCCTGCAGCTGCCGCAGCTAAAGCAACGCCAGCCAAGGCCACACGTGTGACGCCTGCAGCTGCGAGGAGTGTTGCTGCAAAGAGCAGCCCAGTGGGGTCGGTTCCAACAAAGGCAGCAGGAGAGAAGGTGAGGGAGCAGGGCAATGGGAGGGCAGCACATACGGCGGTGCGTGCAGCAACAGGGAAGGCTACGTTGGGAGGGGTGGAGGCAGCAGGAGGACGAGCAGCAGGCGCGCCACACAGCACTCGTAACCCGGCTGCTCCAGCAGCAGCACTGGCGGCCACTCGCATTCCCAAACCACGCCCCACTGCACCCAGTGGCATTCCCAAGCCACACAGCAAGGCACCCAAGGGAAGCAGTGAACGGTGATGAAGCAGCAGAATTAGTAGCATTAGCAGTTGTATAAGGCAGCAGATCAAGAGGCTTTCCAATGGTATGTGGAGGGAGGCGTGGTGCGGGTGGGATGAGCATGGCTGGTGGGGGCTGGTGGCAATCGCATGGCGGGACTTACCCCTTTTTGCACCCTGCTTGCAGGTTGTTGTGGGAGAGATGGCAGGAGAGGTGGAGGAATGTGGTCAGCAGGAGGGCGGCCTGTGGGGAGGCTGGTGACTGAGCATGATAATAGAGTACATGGTCTTAGCAGTAGCTAGGATTGCCTAGTCTATTCATTCTGTTCTTAGCATATTGTAACTATTTATATTGCAAAGATCAAGTGTGACTTCACTCCCTTGTACTAGCTGATGTTGGAGGAGTGAAGCAAGAGGATGAGAGTGTGGAACGGTTTGAATTTGGCTCATTGTTGTTGTTTTTGTCCTCTTGCCATTCTTCCCCCCTCTCATGTTGTCAATATTGCCCAATGTCCATCATGAACCGTTTTTCCGCCATTATTTTCCCATTGCCACCCTTCCCACTGTCAGATTCCCGTTGCCACTTTTCTCCCTGTCAGTTTCCCCACTCCCAGGTTACTCACTGCCAGGTTACTCACTGCCAGGTTACTCACTGCCAGGTTACTCACTGCCAGGTTACTCACTGCCAGATTCCCCACTGTCCTTTCCCCAACCATTTATTCTGATCCACCCTTCTTCCCCTTGCATGTGAGCTACCGTAGGGAAACTTGATTCCTCTCTCCTCCCTTATTCCCCCATCCATTGCAACATTTTCTTGGCATTTCTGTTAGGCATGCACTCTGACATGGCAGGCAGATCATGCTAGTTGCCAGCACATCTCTTCTTGCTCAAGTGTGCATGTCATGCCTCCCATTCAATTCCCCATACACCATAGCCAATTTGCCACAGTCATCTCTCTTTCATTCCCACCTCTTGTTCTCCTGCTAGCATTCTCTTCTTCTTGTCCTATCCTCATGATCCCATCCTGTTCAACACATTTTCATGTTTCCAATCAACTTACCACTACAATGGTTCTAGCGTATCATTTCTCGGTAACTGCTTCTTGTCAGTTTTCCATTGCTCGCACTTTCATTCGTTCCGCCATCTTGGCTTATGTGAAGTCAAGTCTTCGCATGTTCTTGCAATCTGTACCAGTCAGCTACATATCGCTATTTTTTCTGTCCACTTCTACCCTGCCAGTGTCCCATGACTGTTTTCATTCAACTTCCAATGCCTTCTTTCTCATTCAATTTTTCACATTCAACTTTCGATTAGCATGGTTCACTCATCTTCTATTGATGTTTGCTAGGTCTTTTCATTTGTCCCGCCAATTTCACTTTCTCGTTGTCATTTGCAAAGTTCCCACTGTCACTTTCACATTTCCTAAGTTCTCATTCCATTCTGTCCAATCAGGTTGCCATTGTTAGTTGCAAGTTTATTTCTCACTCACTGCCATTCTTTCTACCTTTCCCCATTGCCATTTTTCATTGTCCATTTTTTCTTTGTCATTTCCCTCCTCCCCCTGTCTTTCCATTGCGTTTCCGCCATGCCTGCCTGCCATGCACACGTGGCACCATGGGGGCCAGGCCCGCACCCTCTCAGCCATTCCGCCTGCCATCGGCCCATCGCCCATCCCTGGCCCTTCCACCCACCTCGCCATCCGCTCTGCATTCGCCACCCATACCATGCTCACCGCTCCCCACCCATGCTTTGAAAAGGCTTAAGCCCACACTGGGCACCTCTTACCTTTGTCATATTCTTAATGTTACTCTCAGATGGAAATTATCCCATCATCATTTTTATGTTGCCACGTTCTTATTGTCAGTAACATATTGACATCACCCCAGTTATCATCTTCTCATTGTCATCTTCTCATTGTCATCTTCTCATTGTCATCTTCTCATTGTCATCTTCTCCGTACCACCTCGCGTCCGCCTTCGCCAGAAGCGCGCGTTTGCGCGAGCGAGGCGGACGTGGAGAGTGGAGGCGGGTGGTGGTTGAAGCAGCTTGGGGAGCGCAAAGGGACGGCTGGCAACGTGCAATGGCAGCAGGGGGAGGAGCGCGGAGGGGCGGGCGGGAACATGCGTGGTACTGTGAGGCGGAGCGGAAGGTGGTTGCGGGGGAGCGCGGTGGCGGGGTTGAATCAGGGATTTGCAATGGTGGCGCGGGGTGGACGCCCTCCCGCTACAAGCTCCGTCGGTAGACGCTCGGTGTTTCTCCCTGGGCAAGGAGGGTGGGGGAAGGGATGGGCTCAAAGGGAATGGGTGCAAGGGGGGTGCGCGGAAGTTGGGCGGGGCGCAAGGAGGGATGGGCGCAAGGGGGGATGGGCACAAGGGGGGATGGGCGATGGCGGTGGTGGCACTTGGATGCATTGTTGCTGAAGCAGACAGCACTGGCCAGCCAACCCATTCATGCCACTCCTGCTGCCATCTCGGTACACATTCCCTTTCTTTTTACTTGCCTCTCTTTCAAGGGCTGGGGACCATCCCCCACCAACGCACGCTGGGGCGAGGCGGTGGTGAGAAGGCAGGGGTGACAGTGGTGGCAACGGGATGTGTGAGTATGGGAGGTGTGAGCATGAGTCAACCAACGCATGCCAGCCAACGCGTTATGGCAGCATGCAGACAAGCAAATTGAGGTAGGGTGAGCAGCGGAAGGCCGAGTATGGGAGGTGAGAGTATGGGGGGTGTGAGTATGGGAGGTGAGAGTCTGGGGGGTGTGAGTACAGGAGGTGAGAGTATGGGGGGTGTGAGTATGGGAGGTGAGAGTATGGGGGGTGTGATTATGGGAGGTGAGAGTATGGGGGGTGTGAGTATGAGAGGCAGTGAGGGCACAGTGGTGGAACATGAAGCATGGCACAGACCCTGCAAGGATGTGGAGTGGTAAAGACAAAGAAAGACGGATGTGGCGCAGTATGGATGGATGGGGTGGTGTGGGTTGCCATTCCACTCAACTTCCCATTCCCACTTCCCCAGTCCACTTCCCTCTTAACATCCTATTTCTAGTCAAGTTTGCTCGTCCATTTTTCGGTCTCCCTTCAATGATGATCTCTGTGTTAGAGAGTAGCGAGAATGACGAGAATGATTTACTAGGAAGGGGTGAAGGGGACAAGTACAATGTCGAGAGAAATTGTTTACCCCCTAAGGCTAAACCCACTATAGCCTAGACAACTGTAAACACATAAACACATATGTTTGACACACCCCCATAGGCGAAGTGGGGGATAGCCAGAGCAAGCAATGGTCACAAGACCAGTCAAGAGAAGAAGTAAAGCAAGCAAGCTCAGGGTGGATCACAAAGTCACCACACAGTCCGAGCACAAGCAAAGGGCCACAAGGCCAGTTCACATGCAGAGTTATATAAAGAGAACAAACAATACAGTGACCATACCCTAGCAAGTGCAAGCATGCAGGTATATATATAGATCACAGTACAGGCAGAGTCAGGCAGTAAGTAAGTGAGGCAAAGTAGGCACAAGGTGTCAGAGGTCCTCTGGTGATCCCCGATTGATCCTATGGAAGGGTTATAGGCTCGTTGTCCTGGGGGGTTATGGGCGCACTGACCTGCTACACAAACAAGCCCTTTTATCCCAATGGTCTAGTGGTTGGGATTCTGACATGGTATGAGAGCGAAGGTCTCGGGTTCGAATCCCAGTGTGTGCACATCAGGCATCCCAGTGCGGGGGGGTGTCAGAGGTCCTCTGGTGATCCCCGATTGATCCTAGGGAAGGGTTACAGGCTCGTTGTCCTGGGGGGTTATAGGCGCACTGACCCGCTATTTAACGAGCCCTTTTATCCCAATGGTCTAGTGGTTGGGATTCTGACACAAGGCCTAACACAGTAACAAAGCGCTGATGATCACCAGGCGGAAGTGCCTTGGTGAAGACGTCAGCAGTGTTGGCCCAAATGGCCACGTACGCAAGACGAAGCTGACCACGCTGCTGCAACTCTCGAGCAAGGAAGTATCGCAGAGCGATGTGCTTCGTTCTGTGCTCCAGTCTGTGCTCCTGACACAAGGCTATCATGGCCTTGTTGTCTACGTACAGGACTGGAGGCGAACGAGGCTGCTCTCCCAAGTCGGTCAGCAAGTAGGTGAGCCAGCGTAGCTCCTGAGCAGCCATGGCTCTGGCGTAGATCTCAGCCTCACAGCTGGAGCAGAGAACTGAAGACGAGCGGGTAGACCGCAAAGAAACCGAGCCGGACCCAAGGCTGAAGGTGTAACCCTGCGATGACCGCTGCGTAGCTGAGTCGTCAACCCAGGAGGCGTCTGCGTGACCAGTGAGGACATCTGTACCCCGTCCTCCAAGCACAAGCACCATGCCCAACGTACTGTACAGGTAACGCAGTACCCTCTTCGCAGCATCCCAGTGCACCTTTCGGTGCCTGGCGAGGAGTACTGGAAGCCGAAGCGCTGAGGGACCTGGTGCACCATGTGTGACTCAGTCAGTGTGATGGTGCGCCTTGCTCTGTCCCGGGTGATATGCGGGCCAAGATAGCTGCGCAGTTCACCCAGGTCAGTGCAGGTATGTCTCTTCTGCAGCTCGGACTTCACTAGGGTCAGTGCCTCAGTGTCAGCCGTGGCAAAGACGAGGTCGTCGACGTACACTAGGACGTAGAAGGGCGGCAGCGAGGTGTCGGTGCGTAGAAACAGCGACGGGTCTGCTGTAGAAGGAACAAACCCAAGAGCCGCAAGTGTAGTCCTGAGTGTGTCGTACCATTCGCGAGGCGCCTGGCGAAGACCGTAGACTGGCCGGCGGAGGCTCCGCTGGGTACCTGTAGGAAACTACCCAGTGAAACCAGGTGGTCGGCGCAGCCAGATCTCCTCGTGCAGACTGCCCTGCAGGAAGGCTGTACTGAAGTCCAAGGACTGTAACTCGTAGTCACGCTGAGCAGCTACGTGCAGCAACACCCGAAGAGTAGTCATCTTCGGGGTAGGGGAGAAGGTCTCGAAGTAGTCAACTCCCTGTCGCTGACTGAAACCTCG